GGTTAGATCCGTTAATCCCCACAGGTAAATATCAATTAACAGTGTTGCAACTTTCCTGCCTCCTGCAAAGCCATTGAATTCCCTCTAAGCAAAGCTAAGTTTTATCCTCTTGCTCACACCAAAGCCCACCATTGCCATCCCCATCCATCCACACCCCTCTTGAAGATAGAATCTTGATGAGCTCCTGAGAAGTAGAACTTGAGATTTGATCATGTGTGTTCAAGTATATTGAGTGCTGCTGAATGCTGGTGGCAGCTCATGATCGATCCACCTAGAAGATTTATTCTGTACATTAGGATTGATCACTTGGAGTTTTAATATTGATGGGTTTTCTTTCTTTCGTTAATTTTAGATTTTAAACTTTTAGTTGTTGTCACTTTGATTAGACCATGTTTCTGGGCTTTCATCATATGCAAAAGAGAAAATAATTATTAATGGCGAAAAAAGAAATCAGAGTCAGAGGAAGGAAATGAATTCAATGGTGAGGAATGATTGAAGGAGAGAGAAGAGTTGGGTCGACTTGAGTTTATGGCAGAAGGAGAGAGAAGGAAATGTTTCAAGGTCAGTGACAGAAAATTATAACGGTGTTACTTCATATTTAACAGTAGGAAGACAGAAGAAAATTAAAAGATCTAATAGAAAGAAAAATAAGTTTAGAGACGTAGCTAATTCAAAATGGAGCAAAACACCAATGCCAATTGGATCTAACAAAAGAGACTAATCTCTCACAATGTAATGAAACAAAGTTTGAATTCCTGCTAGGAAAAATACTCACATTTAGTACTCGACAGTATCTCGAATATGATTGTCTTTAACCGGAGGATACCTATGTTTTAGCAAGAAAATGGAGCAAAACTATAAGAACTCTCAAATTAATTTTTCCTAATTTTAAATATAAGCATTAAATAATTGCTCATAGATATTAAGAAAACTAATTAAGTTAATTATTTATTAAAAATATGTGTTAATTTATTTAAAATACTCATTTGAAAATTATTCCATACGGAAATCCCTCTTTAATACACACACACATATATATACATATATAATCAATGGGGAATGGAGATAAGCCCCCAAAAAAAAAAATTACAAATCCCATATCTGAATGACAACAGTTGGTCAAATATCCAATTTTCAAATTCCTAGTCCGAGTTATGCATGGAACGGACATTGTAATGTAAACATTGGAGCCAACTCTTGGTCAAAGATCCTGAACTTGGTCAAAATTTATTCAAAACTAGTACAGTATGGAAGTCACCAATTCATTTTTATTTTATTGTATGTTATTTATTTGTTTTTGCTTGATCCGACGTAATTACGCAATTTGAAAACAGTGACCTAAGTCTTAATGCATAAAGTAACGGTTAATGGCCCTAACCCCTCAGCTCCTAACTGTAATTTCCTATAAATTAAAGGGTTTCGGTTTGGTTCTTATTTCTTAATGCAAAACTTTGTTTACCACGTTAATTTTTTTCCCCCGAACTAGCTATGCTTATTGTACCATTTCTTTTCAAATATAGATTAGGATGAAGATGTAAATTTGTCTCGAAAATTTTTGCTCATAAGAGGTGAGCATCCAAAAAATATTTTGGGTATAAAATTACCCCTAAAGGTTTAAAATTATAGTAATAGTACTTTTTACCGTTTAAAGTTTTAATAGTCAATGTTAAATATTTTAACGATTAATGTTAGTTTTTTATCATTACTATTTATCAAGATTTCAAAAAAAAAAGTCAAAGGGATAAATGGAACGCATAATCAGTTATTTGAGTTTAAAGGGATTTATTTGAACTTTCATCTCTTAACCAATTACCCAAATAGGCACTGAGTGTCGTCAATAAATAATATTCCTCCGGTCCTTATTATAAGATCCCATTTGACTTTTTATTTGGTCCTAATTATAAGACCCCAATCCATTTTGTCTCTTATATTTATGCATTTTTTCCCAAGATAATCCTTCTAATAATGATAGTTTTAGCCAATATACTTAATTAGCAAGGATATTTTAGGAATGACAACACTTATTTATTATAAATAACCAACTTAACTTACTTCCTTAATCTTCTCAAATAAGTCAATTGGGTCTTATAATTAGGACCGGAGGAGTATCTTCAATATTTAATATAAGAGCTATGTGGAAATTTAATTTGATTCTAAATATAAAATCTCAATTTATTTGTTTTTTATATTTATTCATTTTTTCAAATTAGTCTTTATTTTAATTTGCACATGTTAAAATTTTCTCATTCTAATATACATGATTAGTAAGACTATTTTAAGAAAGATAGCACCTATTTATTAACAAATAATTAATTTAACTATTTTTATTAATCTATTCAAATTAATTGTATGTAATTCTTATATCAATGAGTATAATGAGTATGAGTAAATACCAATCAGGGAGTATAATTAAATACCAAGCCGTTTAATCTTCAATCTTCACACTCATTGAACCTTGCTATGGATATTGATTAATTAAATTTTAATTAATTTCTTTTTCAGACGATTTTCTCATCATTTTGTCTTGTAGGTGAAGAATAGTCAATCTATTACACACCATGGCCCACAAAATTCAATCTCCTCCAAAATTAATATGCCCAGTGAGACCGATGATACATGTGCGAGATGAGAATAACAAGAAAAGCAAAATAAGGGACAAAAAACTAGGAAAAATAATTACGCATATTAAACAAATAATTTCAATAACACTGAAAAAAATTCAACGAATTTTTTTTTTGAAAAAAAAACACTACATGGGTTATCTCCTGTTGTTATTAATATCAGGGGAGGAAAAAAGGGCCAGCTAGGCGAACTAATGAGATACACTTATAATTATTGTAATATTTTTTATTTCATTAAAAAAAAACAAATGGGATTTTCAATTTTTAGACATGCGATGGATCAGTTTCAACACATGGATCCCCCTCAATAAAACCCTACCAATCAGTCACTGCATCGCAATCATTCAGGAATGTGGCCCCTTATAGTAGGGCCCACTCTCAATACCTTTTTAAGCCTTTTCAAAATTATTGTACATAATATATGTATATGTATATTTATGCATAAAGTATACATATAAATTAAATAATCACATTGATTATAACCTAAGGACAGCACAGTACAGACACACACACGCATGCAAATTCTTAGTAAAAGAGACTCTTACTATACATACTTGATTGGAGTGCAATATGGCCATATGGTTATGAAATTCTTCGAACAAAATATTCTTTTCGAACTTACAGAGTGTTTAGGTGAAAATAAAACTATGATTTTAAAAATGATTTTACAGCATATAAAATAAATATGTGAGAAGACTGAAAAGTTATACCTTAATTTAAGTGAAAACACTTTGCTCTTAGAAGATCCCAAACACTTCCTTAATATATGACTTAATTTAAGAGTTGATATTAATTCTATATGTAAGACTTATTTCATATATTTATTAATTTTTCTCAAATTAATTATATTGATATTCTCTCAATAAGAATTAAATAAGAAATAGAGGAAAGAAATTAAGAAAGATGATTAGAGTATTTCAAGAAAAACATATCATGCTAATTAATTTAATTAATATCATTAATTTACTCAAATTAATTAATTTGGTCTTACATTAAAAACTAAAAGGGTAACAATCATTTTTAAAAAAAAAAGAAAATGGAAAGGACAAATAATAAACTCACTCAAACAAATTTATTTTTTATGCAAATGTTAAGCGTCAGTTTATATATTTTAATTAATAAAAAATTTTATTCAACTTTAATTACTGTGATAATTATAGATATAGATAGATAAATATGAATCTTTAACTCGAAAAAGATTTATGAAAAATAATAGAAAAAACAAAACGCCCTCACTTTAAAAAAAAGTCTCATTAGCCAAGCATGCATTTTTTTAACCAAATTTTAGAACTCCACTTACATGTTTCAACACTTGAGTGAAATTATAAAACTTCAATACATCTTTTGGACATTAGCGGATTTATGATTCTTTTTCTGTTATTTTTTCAACTATTTATTTTTAGTGACTTGAGGGGATTTTTTTTCAATTTTGTATTCTTATTCTAACTAAATATGACCCAATTTACAATTTGGTGATCTTTTTCTCTTTCTCCCAAGTCTCAGCTAAACAAGCTCACTCGATTTCTCCTTTCTCTTTCTTCTGCTTCAAATATGTCTTTTGACTTGTGACCTTTTCTCCCACACGCAAATATCTGCCCTCTGTCTCCCCCACCCCCCCAAATTCTTCACCGTCCCTCCCCCACCGCTCGTCGCCTCGGTCCTCCGCCATGGGCCTACCGCCTCATCGCCGTCTTCTCTGCCGCAACGCCCACCACCACCACCAACACAGCCACCGCATACCAACTTTCACGGCCTTCACTTTTCTCTTATTCTCTTCTGCTTCAGCCGTAACCCTCCCTCCCCTACCAAGTAAGTATTCTATATTCTTCACTTGTTTAACTTCGATTTTGGAGTACTTAGTGAATATTTTATGAGTTCTAGCTTTTTTACTCTTTCACATCTCAGTCAACATCTCAAGGCACTGTTCATTTGAATTAATATAATAAACTTAATATCACAAAATAATGATTAATATGGAATTTACGTATATAATCATTTAAGTTCAATTGATAAACTTGTTGGTTTTATTTACTCTTAATTTTATTAATATAAACAAAACCATCTACTTATTCTCCGAAATCTAATAAAATATACAGGAACTACCTCATTATTACTTGTCAAAAGCACTAAAAAAGCTAATTTTTATATTATTATTTTAACTATACAATAAGGTGATGCTTTTTTCCCCCAAAATTTTTTACTGTTAGTTTGTGACCTAATTCTGAATATTTTCCATTTCTACGAAAAAGCAAGATTAGGAAGATCAACATTTCAGAAAAAAATTTTAAATTATTTTTCTCAGGTGGGGGAGGTTTCAAGTCGCAGTACTACTTTCAGAGTGAAGAGAAGGAGAATGGGTCGTCATGGACGGCGGCAACAGTGACGGTGGCAGATCAGAAACGAAACGGCGGACCAGGGTCGTTTCCGCCGTCGTGCAGATCCAAGTGCGGGTGGTGTTCACCGTGCGAACCGGTTCACGTGCCGGTCCAACCGGGTGTGAGCATGCCGCTGGAGTACTATCCAGAAGCTTGGCGCTGCAAATGCGGGAATAAGCTTTTCATGCCTTAATCTGAACAGTGCACGCCAAGAACACAAGAAGCACAGCTAAAATTCTTCTTCTGCTTCTTGTTATTATCGTCATATCGCAGAAAATTCAAAATTCTCCATTTTGGTATCTGATATATATATTTGATGATCTCGATCTTGACACAGCCACGACAAGACAGTTCAAGAACTTAGATATATATACACTATATATATACTCCTACCTTCTTCCTCTTATTATTATTATGAAATAGAGGAGTTAGACACTAACAGATTGAGATTATGAGTGGATTGAATCCACGGTATGTATATTAGATTACAGCTGTTATTATTATTATTTTACTATTGTGACAGTCTCGTATGTGAATCAGTGAAAGGTGATTTATTGTGTATTATTAGCTTATTACGAGGTTTATTTATTAGCATGTTGGGTTTTTTTAAAAAAAAATTAATTCTTTTTGCTGATCTCTGTGAGGAGGCGCGACAGAAGGAAACGTTGGGAATGTAAGATTCTGAGTGAGATTATCAAGAGGGACATCTTAAAACCACCCTTCTTCTTCACTCTATGCAAATTTCCACTTTTGTATCATAATACTCCTAAACTTCTTAATATAAAATTTGTTTTATAGTGCAAATTATATATATTAAAGACAGGAAAAGTATTAATCAATCACTACATATGTCAATACTATAACATATAAAAGGGGTGTTTAGGTGAAACAGCAAGTACTTTAAAAAAATACTTTCATGCTAATGGAGATAAAATTCTTTTTTTTATATATTTATTCTGTATACTATAAAAGTATTTTTAAAACTACTATTTGGCTTTCAAGCAGACACTCTCAAAATTTGTCTGTGCAATTTTTTAAGATTATTTTAATTAGTGTGAGTTTTGTATGTTGTATAGAGATTCATAAATAGTGTAGTTTGTTAAAGTTTTTGTGAATAGTGTATATGGTATAATTCATTCCACACGTATCATATTTTAGGCTTAAATGTTAAAAAATTATTATGCCTGCGCACTTTGATGTAAAATTATTTGTACATTGACTTGGTCAAAATGGTTTAGAAAATCTATTTTTAAATTATATATTCTTCCAATCCTAAATATAGAACCCATTTTATAGACCGGAGGAGTACAATAATACTTAGAGAACAAAAAAATATATTCAACAGCGATCCATTAAATGGGTCAACTATAAAGATCATATGATATTGTCGAGTTCTATTAACAATTAATTTTTTAAATAGACTATTAATCAGAAGATCTTGCTCAATAATTTCATTAAATGTTCTCTTTGACCTTCCATTATTTCTTTTTAGAAACTCTATATTATTTGATCAATTTTCCTCACCGACGTAAAAAAAAAATTATATGATTTGTTTTGAGAAAAAAGAATAATAAAAAGAGGAGTGACATGACTTGTCTTCCTTTGACTACAGCACTAAAATAAAAAATTAATAGGTTTTGATGTGCAGGTTTCTGTGTTATCATATATAGGTTTGAACTGTGAATGAATTGAAGAAGGTAGAGGGAATAGGTCAAATCCAAATGTTGCAAATTCTTGATATATATATATATATATATATAAATGTATATGTGTGTAATGATATTGATCGTTCATTGTACTGATTGAATTTACTATACACACAATGTGCCATAATATAGCGTCACTGTTTATTTTGGTGCATCAATCAAGTTTGTGGGGGTGTGGGTGTGTGTGTGAGATATGGGAAGTGTAAGTATTAAATAGTTGTTTGTTTGGTTCTGCCGGGAATTATAATTGCAGCCATATGATATGTCTCCTCCTCCTCAGTACTGTCTCCTTCACGAGGACCTCCCCAAAATCAAAAATAAGAAGAAGGAGAAGGAGAAGAAAAACATGCATATTGGGTATTGATCCAAAAATAAAAAAAAAAAAGAAAATGGTTACTTTATGTGTGATGATTCAACATCAGTCTACATTTTCTTTCTTTGATCCTTATTAATTACCATCTCCGATCCTAAGTATATAAGAATTAATTAGTGTTTTTTTATTTTAAATATAAGATTTTAATTCACTTTATCTCTCAAATTTATACTGTATTTGGTTGTTTTTCTAAGATCCCAAAATTTGAATTAATCTTGTTTTATTTATAGTATCCTATTTAGAGGTGTCTGAACATTAAATGCGTTTTTACCAATTTTGTCTTTAATTAGTTTTCTATTATCTCTTATCATATTTTTTTGATACCGTATTTTCTTTTGGGAGAATGACAGAAAAAAAGTTGAAAATTACAAATCCTAGATCAAATTTGGTAACACAACTTTATTTGGTATTGACAAGTTTGAATTTGCAAATGACAACAAATTTTTGTTGACATTCCTTATTTGATATTTAGAAAATTCCAACTTCTTTTTGTGTCATTATTCCTTCTCTTCTTTTATCATTTATCTCATTTATAATATTTCTCTATCTTATTTGCCCTTTTAGTAAATAAGGATATACTTGTAAAAAAAATGGGTCAATTTTGATATATTTCTTACTTTTGATTAATTTTAAGCATTTTCTTAAACAGTGTAATCTAGTTAAAATAATCTTGTAGAAAGGATTGGGGAGAGTATTTACCAAGCTATCTTTTGTAGGGGTAATAATTAATCAGAGTAATTTAGGAAAATCTACAAGCATTTGTTATAAATGATTAGTTTAACTATTTTTTAATATATATCAATTAATTATCTAACAAATACATTTGCGATTGGCTTGTACATTATATCAAATTCTGATAGATAGAATTTTACACAGAAAATAAGGACAGTAGCATTGAGCCCTGGCAGCAGGCTCCACAGTAATAATAAGCAGTATGAGAAAATCAAGAAAAATCCAGAAAGAGAAAGTACATTTGTTTTTTTCTTTGTTTTTTATTTCCTTTACAGCTTGTCACTTCTGTGATATATCTTTCTTGCCGGTCTGGATTACCCATTTATTCGTGAATTAATAATAACAACATAGTTTATAATAAATCACAATCAGACGGAAAAGTAATTTGATTTATTTCTGAGGAATCGTTTGGTTGAACTTTTCGAAAATCTAAATATTTTTAAATAGATATAATATTATTTTTACTACTAAAGATAAAAATATTGTTTCAATTTGTTTTTATTTTATAATTTTAAAATTAAATTTGAAAAATACGTAAGTGGTTGGTTAGTTCAGTTTATTGATCCAACTTCTAAAAATTAAAAATATTTAAATTTCTAAAAAAATTTAAATTTGAGTTTTTTTTTTTTTTTTATTTTTGGGATGTCTAACTAGTTTTTAAGAATCAGCATAGAATTTTTTAGCCAAAGACCCCTTGGCCTAGTGGCGTGATGAGAATGGGGTTCTAATTCGAAAAAAAAAAGGAGTATTTTTTATTTTAAAAATAAAAATATCCTTTGTACTTTAGTTTCAAGAGAAGAAATATGAGACTTAACTGTTAGAAACTGTTTTTTTAATGAATTGAGGAGGACGAATTTTATTATTTTCCAGCGGTTTTAATTTCTGCTGTCTGCTACTTCTAGCCAAACCACCTCTGAATATTGGGAAATAAAGGTTCTTCAAATGTAACTCTTTTTTCCTTTTCACTTATGTAATAAAGTGTGAAGTTTGACTTTCTAAAAAAATTAAGGTTTTTTACTGATAAAAAAATTCAGCAAATTTAAATGACAGTATTTATTTACCTCTATGATTAGATCGTACTTCCTCTGATCTTTAATATAAGAACTAATTTAATTTTTAATTTAGTTTTAAATATAAGATCATAATCCATTTTGTTTTTTATATTTATCTATTTTTTTCAAAATAATCCTTATAATAATTACACATGTTAAATATTTTATCAAATAGTAATATTAACTAATACACATAATTAGTAAGGGTATTCTAGAAAAGACAATACTTATTTATTACAAATAACTAACTTAACTAATTTTCTTAATCTTTTCAAATTAATCAATTAGATATTATATTTAGGATCCAGATAGTACTACCTCCAGTCCTTAATATAAGACCTTGTTTGACTTTTATTTTGGTCCTAAATATAAAACCCCAATCCCCTTTGTCTCTCATATTTATATATTTTTTTCTTAAGGTAGTCCTTCTAGGAATAGTAATTCTAACTAATACTTAATTAGGAAAGATATTTTAGAAAAAGACAACACATATTTATTACAAATAACTAACTTAACTTTTTTCTTTAATTTTTTTAAATTAGTCAATTGACTCTTATAATTAGAATAAGAAGTAATATATAAGATGTCAATAGCTGGTTGTCCCAATGCAATATCCTCCGTCACGCTTAGATAAGGTCTCATGTTCAAACTTATATCAGGAAAAAAAGATACATACAAAGTACTAGATGCGCATTTAGTTTTCCTTCTTCTTTTTTTTTCCCCTCAATACAGAAATCACATAGCACCCTTTTCCTTTTCAGATACAGCTTTTGTGCCTTGGGTGTCTCACAATGCACACAGCCTTCCGTGAAAAAGTGAACTTTCACAGCAAATCATCTAAGTTATAAATCTGGAAAACATAATTAAAAGAATTTAACTATTCTTATACACCATTTTAATTCTATATATATATATATATATATTGACACATACACATGACAATGAGCTAATGCAATGATTGTGCATCCTTGGCGTTAAAATGGCCCCCCATTTAGTGGCCTCATTTGCCATCCTTTTCTTCAAAAGGAGACGAAGAGGATGCTGACTCGTTGATAAATACTATCAAAGAATATGGATAAAAAGAAGGATAAAGGTGCGTGCAATGTTATGATCTTATTTTTTTAGATATATCTGATAACATCTTGATTTTTTATATGATACATTCAGCACTTTGATTTTATTTTTCTAGTGGATCTAATAACTATAGAAACTTGAGTGAAAACTATGTGATGACTTACTTTTAATAAGTACTTATAAACACTTTTTTATAAATTAAGACAAAACTTTCTTAACATACTTATTTTATACTCTGTATATCATAATTAAAAAAAATGTTTCTAAAGGCTCTAGTTGCGGTTCCAAACGAGCCCTAACGA